CACTACGGAGGAAACCCGGAAGTGAGGCAATCCATTGCAACGGACCCCAGAGTTTAAAAACCAGGTGGGAAAACACACCGACGCTTCATCAGAGGCTACACTGAGGATGTTACCAAGCACGGTAACGAAACGTCTGCAGAACAACAAACCAGCTCGGTGAGCCAACCAACCTCAAGATGTCTCTTAATTTGGTGCATCGGAGTTGGGAGGTCATGTTGCAGCTGTACAGGACATTGTTTGGGCTACTGCTGGAATACTGCGTGTAATTTTGGTCTCCCTGCTGTGGAGGAATGTTGTGAAATTTGAAAGAGTTCAGAAAAGATGAACAAGGATGCTAACAGGTCTGGAGGGTTTGCGCTATAGGTAGAGGCGGAAATGGGCTGGGGCTATTTTTCCTGGAGCGCTGGCGGTTGAAAGGTGGCCTCATAGAGTTTATAAAATCATGAGGGGCATAGATAGGGTGAATAGACAAGGTCTTTTTCCCAGGGTGGGGAGTCCAAAGCTAGAGGGCGTAGGTTTAAGATGAGAAGGGAAATACTTAAAAGGCACCGAAGGGGCAATATTTTCACACAGCGCGGTTTATGTATGAAATGAGCTGCCAGAGGAAGTGGTGGAGGCTGGTACAGTTACAACATTTAAAAGGCATCTGGATAGGAAGGGTTTAGAGGGATACGGGCCAAATGTTGGCAAATGGGGCTGGTTTTATTTAGGGTATCTGGTTGACATGGACGAGTTGGACTGAAGGATCTGTTTATACGCTGTACATCACTATGACTCTATGGTAGTCAAAGGAAAAGAAACAGCACCTGTACAAGACCTTACAGAATGAGCAGTGTACGAGTTCAGTCAGAGAGTTTCAGTGCTAATCTTGAATGGTTCAGCGGTTTCAGGAAGACTGCAAATATTAACATGCCTGGTGAGGCAGCTAGTGCTGATACAGGAGCAGTTTATGTATGTCTTTCCCATTTGAATCATCGAAGAAAATGGGTAGTCAGCAAAACAAATTTTCAACATTAATTAAATAGAGATCTTTTGGAAATGTGTGCTGCAATGAATGTATATATGGCAAAAGGAGATAAAAGTGTCAGGATTCAAAGCTGCCAACTGTTATTTGACTATTTTGCTTGGTGGGTTTGCTGCAGGTGATGTTAAATGTCAACCATTAGTGCTGTACCAATCCAGGACATCACGGGCATTGAGAGGCAACTCC